ATATATGCGTTTATGCAAATACGACTCTACAAAATGTACCAGGACACACACAACGTTCATGTGGGGCGGCTTGAAGGAGCAAGAGGAGGAGCCAGCGACAGGCTTGGCTCCAAGAACTATCCTCGATCAAAAGACAGACACACTCCGATGCACTGTGCGGGGCGGGAGCCCGCCTAGGATAGCTGGGGTCTGTGGGTGGAAGGCGGATTCAATCAACTCGATCTCCCTCAATTTCCCTCAGATTTTCTCCACCTCACTCACTTGGCACTTCACCGCGGTGGTTGTGATGCGGAGCGCTTTCGGCGTACGGCCATCGCTGGTTGTGGGAACCGGAGGTGGCTTCTTGAAGCAAGTTTTCTCTCACCGCCGCTGCCGTTGGTAGTGTCGCTGCCACAGTCTTTGCTGTCTCAACCTTTAGGATTGCTTCTGGGTCGTCCAAAGCCAGCGGAGAGCGTCACTTCGCCGTATTCTTCATCCTGTCTCAGTGCTATTCTTCGTGAGGATTCATCCCCACAGGCGACTTGGTGCCGATGCACACGCCGCCTTCAGAAATCCACCTACCCACATTTATATATGTATATGTATATATGCTTCCCTCGATATCGAGTGATACATCGACAGGGGCGAAGGTCTTAGCACCAGGCGATGACTGAGAAGAGCGTCCTAGAGTTGTCGTCCATGGCATACCGCCAGAGGCTTCAGGTCTCTTCGGACGTTTGGATAGTTGCCTTTGGCCGGTTCGATAGGACACACGCCACCACTCTCAACTATCGCTACGCGACTCTTATCCTACGACTAAGATTCGCTTGTCGACGCGTGCCCTTTTGAATTAATACGATGTGTGCGCACCGATCTCGCTCTTGGTTTCGAGGACCAACCGAACTGTCTGAAAGTGATTCTTCTACCCAGAGTAGCCTCTGCTTAAGAAGTTTGTCTCGGATAATCAAGTGGAGACATGCTTTGGGGACTGGATGGAAAGAGTAGCTCGACAATGTGTTCTCGAGTAGCTTATGATAGTGGAACAGTGTTTCGTACAGGCAGCAGAATATTTTTTATTCTTTTATTATATGTACTTAAGTTTGATCATGAATAGAAACTGGTAGAAATGTAGTTAATAATTGGGACATCTTTAACCAATGGAGAACTGAAAAAGCATTGGGAATTAGGGTATACTTGAACGTCAAAAACGTTATTTGGTTCAAAGTGCGTGATGAAGGTAAATAAAACGCTTGTTAAAAGAATGTTCTAGTGGAACAGGTCCGATTCACAGCTATGTAGGCAAACGCATGTCCTCATTATGTATCCCACCCTAGCCCATAACTGATTTCGAATTACATATTCTAGCCACAAAGCGAGCTGCAGACTTTTCAACAACAGAATAATATCATTTACAACAAAGATCTGCAAACCGATGATGGTAGATACTTGATAAGCTCTTCTCGATTTGCCCGTCTTCACCACCCGCTTATGCTTGCCTCCTCCTCCAGTTGAAGACGCGCGAAGAGGACAGTTCAATGGAGCAAATATGAAGATCCCCATCGAATAGCTATTCATTAAGAAACAATTCGTCACATATCGTGCATTTTAACAGCCAAATAGTGACAATGAAATTTCGAAGCATGGTTGTAAAATTTTGGCTACCTAGTGGGTTTCTTTCAAACGGAAAAACGTCGAGGGCAGCATCTAGAGACTGCAGAAAATCTGTTGTCTTTCAATCAGCGTGCGGTTGGTCGGCGCCGAAACCAGCAAACGCACAGAGTGAAATTTCATATATCATAGGAACCTTGAATTACACGATCGTCTATGACGGTGCCGTGCCGGCTAACAGCTATAAGTGATCAGCATGGCACCATGGCGGAGGACCATGCGATCTAGCGGCAAGACGCTATCTAACATTGAGCTTTACAGAAGAAAAGGAAAACCTACATTTTCCGTCGTAATGCCCGTATGTGCGCGGGACTTCACGCCAAAGGGCAAAATACGCTGCTGGATGATGGGTGTATCGCCGAAACTCTACGAATTCGAGCGTCTCTAACGTTTTGAGATCGACACAATTCATAGTGGCGTAACGGACGACGTCAATACGGCCGTTAATTTGGCACTGACGCAAGTTTAAGGACAATGTAAATATTACAAAACACGATATTGTATTCATGCAAAGTAAATGAATAAATCAATTTATAAGAAATTAGTGTGTGTTAAGCCAATTTGCCATCAATGGCCCCAACTGGAAATGAAGCGTTTACCACTATGTGTCCTTCAATTTTATAGTTGATAAGCACTGTTATTAAATTTTGATTAATTAACGTCTATTTCAGTGTCCTAGTTTCAGCTTGTCTATCTATTTACGAGTTGTCCGATAAGTTCCAACAACTATTATACAATATGTAGTTACAGATAGAGAAAGACTAAGGCACGGAAACTAAGACATCCCTTCTGTGACAAGACAGAGCAATTCTGTGACAACAATATATGGACTTTCGCATGACGTTTGTTTTGTGGGAGTTTAAAATTTTCGGATTTAATTGTAAACAAAGATGACGTAAGCGAAAAACTCCTAGCTAATAATAATGGTAAATTATAGGTGCATTAACAATTTACCAATCATGAACTTACTGTTTCAATAAACAAGGTCCCTTTAGTATTGGTCATTTTTGCCTGCTGGCCTTCGGCGTTACATTGACAACTTCCCCATTGTTCGGAACGAAATTTTTCTAAATACAGGAACATCGACTTTGTAAGTAGCTGTTCATATTTTCGAAGAGCTCCTTAGTCCCTGTCATGTAAGCACTCGGGGCGCGGTTGAGTACCATCAATAGACCGAATGGTTACCGTACATAGGCCTGTTGCCGTAGGCCCTCTATTTTGGATGCGTATGAATCGAAATACTCGCTATGTTTGCAGCTCGCTAATTACGTTTGCTAGCTTCTTTAATCGAACGATACATCTTATACATTGGCACATTTTAATACGACTACATTCTGGCCCATTCCATGATTACATTCCGACCTACCCATTAAGCACTCATAAACTGAGAACGTTTCATTCTGAAAAGCGACATCTAGAACCAAGCACAAAACGCGTCGACCAATCCGCTTGACACTGCCTCACCGACAAACGGATACGCCATACGGTGTGGGCGCACAAGCGGCTTCTGATATACAACCAATACGTTTTCCTCCTGCGGTAGCAGTGGCAGCAGCAGAGGTATGACTCCGCTGTTGAGAAACGATGGCTTTGATGTTACTCCCCCAGCTGCGGAATCCCTGTCGGGTGGACAGCGGCACCCCCATTCATCAATTCGGTAGCTTCTCGACATAAGCGAAGTCCAAAAAAGGCCCGGCTGACAAAACTGCATCACGAGTGGGAGGATGCAAGATGCGGTCCTAGTCAGCGCGTATCTAATGAGTGGGCTCCACGGGAAGGCCAGCATAGGAAAACAAATGAAAGGGGGACACGATCGTTGCGTTCTTTTCTGCTATGAACTAACTAGCCCTAAATCTTAATTGTCGTTTACTTAGCCCAGATTTGTACCTAGCCCATTGTATGTAGGGGAGTTATAGGCTCAATAGAGATGAGTCTCACACTGTGTCGACGGCATAACAACGAACGGAACCGGCCTGAAGCTTCAGCAAGGAGAACATCGGTCAGGAAATGATCGCGAGTTGATTAGCTTCCGACCGGCTGCGCTGTTCGTTATATTGTTGTAGGATTTAGTTCGGCTCATGTGAGTAGTCGCTTT